TGGAACCATGCCCTTCAACTTATGGGAACTGAATGATGGTGATGTAATGGTACGGATACGCTTCCATTTTTCACCTTTGGCTGCATCAAGTCCCTTATCAAAAGGTTCTGGAGTAGCATCTAGATCCTAAAACAGGTAAGGATCAGGTTTTGATTTKGTGTTTCACATGCGAACTTGACTATAGACAAGAATATTTCGTTGTTAAATGGGATGTTCGTTACGTTTCCAGTGAAAAATGATCTTCTTTTGGTCTATCACCACGCCAAAGTTTTCTCCAAAAAGTATTCATATATTCTAAATCATTTCCTATTCCTTTTAAATCTTTTTATCTTGAGTAWTGTTTGAAGACGGTCCCTAAAAGTGGTCGAGTTTGTCCCCAATACCCCCCTTCCTCTCCGTCTGAGAGAGACCCACTCCCGATCTTGATAGTTAGTGTTTGACCTCACTGGCAGTGTACAAGTTCGTATTCGTAGTCATTCTGATGGCTGTAACAGCATGGTACGTAGCCACCATGATGTCATTTATATGCATTCATTATCACATTTTGTTTGGCCAATGAGATCGCAGGAAATCTGTTTCAAATCAAGTGTGATTTTCATGTGACTGTCCTTGAATAGCAGGTGATGTGAATTTGAAAATAGCTTTTTACAAAAATCTATTGCATACTTTCTTTATTAAAAAAAAATAAAAATCTCCACGTCTAAAACATGCGTTAATAGAGAATCTTACCGGTCTGTCATGAAAGCAYTCGAAGTACTTCACAAATATATCTTTGATCATCGCTGGGTCGCTGACAACAGCCGACGGGCTACCAAAAAACACAGTGCGATATAATTTCCCAAATTTCTTGTAGTCATTATCGAATTGCAAGTGCATTTGACCYCCGCTTCGTATAACATCTGGTAGACTTCCAATGAAGGGCCATTGCTTTGGACCTGGGAGTCCCGGGAAAGTTTTTTCAAGACGAGAACGACTTCTAGTTCCGTACCAGTAGACAAAAATCAGTACCACAGCACCGATAGCACATGTACTCCAGTGGGTTTTGACAAACTCCAGAGAAGACGAGTAAATGTCCATAGTGTTTACTAGTATCTTTTCTTTATAGATACTATGCGACTGGCTGCGATTTATATGGGATTCGATGGCGTGACTTCTACGTCATTATTGTTCCGCTTTGCAAATATTCCGTTATGAGGTGTGCATGAGCACGTGACCTGCGAAGAGACCATTCTAGTCACTGTATAAAATCTGACAGGGTACATGTAAACAGTAACGAAGAATTAATTGTAAATGTATAAATGGGAAAGTTTCGCAGTGTTAAATTTGGAAGCGCTCTAGAAAAAGGGTTCCAATGGTGATACTCTCGACGTCGTCAATATTTGGTAGCATTGTAAAWATTTACTTTTATAATAACACGTGATTTATCAAACGCGCCAAACAGAAAAAGGCGCGCTCTGACGTCGTCATCACGCCATCGAACGCGTGGATTCTCAAAAAGTTTAAAATTATATGGAGCCGGAAATGTCGTAAATGCTTATTTATATCAGCATCGATGAGGAAAACGAGGCGAAAACAAATTTTTAAAATTGATAGACAGTGATGATTATACATGCATTTGGCCTGACAAATGATTTCTGTCATTGATGAACTAAATGTTCAAAGTGTTCCATATTGATTTAGCTTGTGTCCTATCGTTTCACAACTCCAAGTTTCACTCCTGATGCAGTCAAAGTTTGCTTCATTTCCAGTTTTGGTGGCTTCGTCTCGGCCGTCTTGACAAACGAGTACTTCTTGAGCAATCTAACCAACACCAACTTAATCTCCATGAGTGCAAACCGCATCCCAATACAGTTGCGAGGACCAATACCAAAGGGATGG